CATGTCATCTTGGTGAATGGAGACCCCTCTAGATTTGCTCCAGAACCAGCTTTATCTTAGTTTCACAGATTCTTCTCAATAACCAGGATTCTTTTCCTTTTTTCCTAATCCTTTGGATCAATACCTTTTTAAGTATGCAGAGTGAGAGGTGGTAAGAAATCCATCTTTTATTAATAGCTAAGAGGCAGTTTACTATCCTTTCATTATATAAGTTGAAATATCTTAATAGTTATTATTTTCCTTTTTTAAAGGAACAGAGGAAAGGAAAATTAGACATGTGTGTATGAAACAAGGAACTGCTCTTTTGGATGATGCATTACTGATTCCAATTAGTTTCACTTTTCAGAGAGAGGATGAGTTACATCATTTTGTTTTCAGGAGGTTGTAACTTACTCTTAGTTTTAAAAAATAAAAAGAATATTGCAATCCTATAATGTGACACTCCACTGGCCTACACATTCCCCCAGAGTGGGGGCCCTTTCGTTACACCTGAGTATACTCTATAATGTTATGTACATAGTAAAAAGTTAATACATGTTTATTGAATGAAGGAATAGAGCATTGTATCAAAAAGACAGATTTGAATAAGTTAGTAAAGAAATGCACTTTGGTAGAGGTTTTGCAAAATGTGGATAAATGGCAACTGAAGTAGGAGGCACACATTCCTAGGAAAGGAACATTCCCCAAGTTTACATTAATAATGTTATTTTTATAACCAGTTATTCATAAAATTTGCTATTAATTATTCTTACATGATACAGTATGATAGGAACAGCTGAAAACATAAATACATACAAAAGTGTTTACATTACTTAGTTATAATGTAGTTAAGACTTCTGGATGCTGCCTTCTTATAAATCCATATTTGGGAGTCCCTAGTTAATTCCCCACCTACTGACCACACCAGTGTTGCAAGGGGGAGGTAGAAATGGAAATACTTACCCATTACTGTTGGGAATGTAAATTGGTACAAGCACACAGGAGGTCAATTCTCCAATGATCTTCACTGATACTTAGTAATTTCTTAGTATATGCTTAGTACTTGGTAAATTCTGCAATGGTATTTAGTAAAAATGAGAATCTTCATACTCTATAACCCAGCATTTTCATTTCTTGACATACACCTTCAAAAGACTGCTATACATGTGCATAAAAATCATTGCCTTATATGATAGAAACAATCTAAATTCCCATTAAAAAGACAATGGCCAAAAGTATAATAATATAAAATGTAATAAAATGCACATCCATTATACCCATAAAAAGTAATAATAGGGAGTGGCTAAAAGCAAATGTAATTTTATGCATTGCAATGAATTTTAGAAAACATAATTTCAAGTGAATAAAATGTGTTTTGGAATTATACTTCAATAATATTTATATAAATTAATAAAAACAAATAATTCCCTCTCATTCCATATATATGTGTGTGCGTATATATATATTTGATTATATATGTACATATGTATATGTTTATATATGTATATATTTAATTTTTAGGAACACATAATTTTATAGTAAAACCAAAATAACCATGAAATATTCCTACAGCTAATTATTCTCAGTACTTGGTCCTTGGTCCTGCCCCAGACCTGTGGGCTTATATCTCACTCCATTCCCCATCCTTCTCCCAGCAGATTCTGTCTGAAGCCTAATGCTGTTTTTGTCATAACAGGGAGCTTATCTGCCACTAGATAGATTTAAATAATTTGCAGTCTCTCCCTTTGTACTGAGAGACACTATTGTGGTGAGCCTTTTCAAACATGAGAATTTGAGTCAAGTATCTAACTATTAAATAAATAATGGGGAAACTTATACACAAGGATGTAGTATTGAATAAACAGATCTTCGGGAAGAGCTGTGATATGTCCTGCAGAAAGGCCATGGGTAGGGGACAATTGTAATGAAATTATGATGCAGTTTTTTTCCATTTCCTTTTGGCAGGAGTTGAAGTTGGGGGTGGATATAGGGGCCCTTCTTTTAGAAGGGACAAGGACAGGCAAGGCAGAACATCCTGAGAAAATGAGCATGCCCAAGCAGCAGAGCGGCAGAGCAGAGGCTCAGGAGAGGGCTGTGTCCTGCGAGGGGGCAGGCCCCTTGACTTATGTCTTCTGATATTCATTTTTTTTTTTAAGATTTTATTTATTTATTTGAGAGAGAGAGAATGAGAGAGAGCACATGAGAGGGGGGAGGGTCAGAGGGAGAAGCAGGCTCCTCGCTGAGCAGGTAGCCCAATGCGGGACTCGATCCTGGGACTCCAGGATCATGACCTGAGCCGAAAGCAGTCGCTTAACCAGCTGAGCCACCCAGGCGCCCCCTGATATTCATTTTTAAGTCTCCGTTTTTGTACGGATCCCGCTGTGTTGTCTTCGAGCCCCGGGTTACGTCTGTTGGGCACACCCACCTTGTATGGGCTATCTTTCGTGGCATCAAGCCAGCAGACCAGAAAGCTGTAGCCCGATGGCAATGGGAAACTGGTCTTGATGCTGCGTGAAACAGCCCAGGGCTTCCTAGCACAGAGCAGAGAGGTGGGTGTGAGGGTTCTGCGTGCGGAAGGGAGGTCCCGGTGCTCCCGCCGAGGCGGCAGGTGCCCGGAGAGGGGGAGGGGGGTTGAGGGCGCCACGCGGCTGGAGTTGAAACGACAGCAGCAACAGCGGCAGGAGAGGAGGCGAAGCCAGCTCTTGGAGCACCACCACCTGGCTGCAGGAGCTCTCGGCAGTAGGACTGTCCGTGAATGTGCCAGAGGTCCGTCAGCACAGCTCGTGAGCCTCTCTTTGAGAACGGCTGGGAAACAGAAAGGAATGGTGGGAAGAGGAAACCTCAGGTTGGTATCTGCCGGGTCTTTGAAAAGAAAAAGCCATATCGGTGCTGTCTTTGGGAGGACAGAGAGAGAAAGCGTGAAGAAAGAAACGGGCAGTTCCTACACTATACCAAGTTAGGTGGCCCGGAAGTTCTCCCTTGCAGGTTAAATAGTGAGAGATTCCATGAGTTAGTCATATGGCCATATCCACATACATGGATGGTTGGCCTCTACGGGCCAAAATACATGCGTAATGAATGCATTCAGATTTTCATTTCGAAACTGGTGCTCTGTGGAAAAGCAAAATTAATTCATCCATTACGACCATAATTTAAAATACCAGGTTTGGGCGCCTGGGTGGCTCAGTTGGTTAAGCGACTGCCTTCGGCTCAGGTCATGATCCTGGAGTCCCGGGATCGAGTCCTGCATCGGGCTCCCTGCTCGGCGGGGAGTCTGCTTCTCCCTCTGACCCTCCCCCTCTCATGCTCTCTCTCTCTCTCTCTCTCACTCTCTCTCTCAAATAAATAAATAAAATCTTAAAAAATAAAAAAAATAAAAATTAATAAAAATTAAAAAAAATAAAATAAAATACCAGGTTTGAGGGGCGCCTGGATGGCTCAGTCAGTTAGTCTGCTTTCAGCTCAGGTCATGATCCCAGGGTTCTGGGATCAAGGCCCGCATGGGGCTCCCTGCTCAGCAGGAAGCCTGCTTCTCCCTCTCCCATTCCCCTGCTTGTGTTCCCTCTCTCACTACGTGTCTCTCTCTCTCAAATAAATATAAAATCTTAAAAAAAAATTTAAAAAAATAAAATACCAGGTTTGATAGTGTTAATAACAATTTAGTTTCTTTGGAATAAAGTTTCTTCAAATGCCCATGACAAATGGTAAGAAATCTAGGAAACATACAATTTAATTAAAATACTAATCATATTGGGGCACCTGAGTGGCTCAGTCAGTTAAGCCTCCAACTCTTGATTTTGGCTCAGGTCATGGTCTCCGGGTCTTGAGACCTAGCCCCTTGTTGGCTGCTCAGCAGAGAGTCTGCTTGAGAGCGCCCTCTCTCTCTCTCTCAAATAAATAAATAAATCTTAAAAAAAATACTAATCATATTTATTCACCTTTCCTGCAAATGACAAGTCAGGTAATGGCAGTTCTTCAACCCCAAATACCTCAAAACAACAACAACAATAAAAAGAAATACCTCTTTGCCAAATAAGAACATAAACTTTTGGCTATCAACAACCTGTGAGGCTGACTTTATAATTTTTCATCATGCCCTATGGCTTATCAGGCCACTTAACTATTTTTAGAAGTAGACAGTGTTGCTTAAAATTCAGTATATCTTGCAAGTTCAACCTTTACAAATCATGCCATCCAGGGCAATTGACTTGGGGAGCAAAATTTCCAAGGTCACCTGGTCACCTGCGTTTAGAAAGATGAGCTGTCCAGTCAAGGGGACCATGTTTTCTCTTCCCCCTCAGTATACAATGTAGATAAGTATCTCCTGTATGTTTCCATTAACTTTGTGAGGTTATTGAAGGTTTATATTTTCAAATGCCTCAGATTCATCAAATTCAATTAAAAAATGAAAATACAGATTTATTTATTACATAAATAATAAGGAATAATTCTCCTCTTGCTTCTTTGCTTTTGGGGGAAAGAACATGAAGAAATCCTGAGAGAAAAATAATATTGAAGTTCAAACATCTTCAAAATTTAAAATACTGTATTTAGAACTGTCAGAAACTTACACAGGATAGAATAATGTATCATAGACTCTGGCACAGAAGATTTCTAGAAACTAGAAAAATAGAGAATTTCTGATGTAATAGTGAATGCAAGGGTATATATTCCAAGAAATTAAAAAAAAAACAGTAACTACCTGCAAACAGACTCTTAAAATGAGTATTGCGTATTTTCTTTTCCTGTTTTTATTATTTTTAAATTGTTCCTTCAGATAGGATGGTTTGAGCAGCATTTACCTTTGGTGATAGCTTCGTCTCCCCCTGTTGTCCAAAGTGATAAAATACATCACTCTGGAAACAGTAAGGCACTCCCTTCCTCTGTTATTTGTAAGCTGACATGAAGTAGACAGACACCTTCTGAAGTTTTATGCATGCTGTGTTTTTTCTCCTTGCTGCAACAAGAAAAGCTTTTTCTTTTAACCTGGCTGCCTTTGAAGAAGTGACTCAGACATCTTCATGGCCTCTAAAGGTAAGAGTAAATATAGCTAGCTAACAAATTTTTCTTTATTTATGACTAAAAATACTCAGTTGTGGGGATTTTACAATCAGTAAGATTGATACTTTAAAACCTGTCATTTATCACTTTTGAACACTGGAATTTTTTAACTTCAAGGAGCATGTTCCATTAAATTAAAAAAAAAACACTATCTGATTCAATGTAAAAGTTAAGATATAAACAATGTTTTAGTTATCATGAATATAAATATAGTGAATTAATAAGAAAGGCTGCACAGCAGAATTTAAAAGGGTAATATTTAATGCCAAACACAAGGACAGGTTGATATTCCAAGTTTAAAGGGATTTGAAGAAACCTTTTCACACATAAGTTAAAAAGTGTTAAAGTACAGTTCAGTATTTTTAAAATTTCCTATTTGTTGTTTAAAATGTGTGGTACAGCAATTTATTTTAAAGAATTGAATATGTGTTATTGGTAAGTTCTAATAAATTTAATGGACTAGAAGTAAATATTACTGAATTATGAAACAAAAATCCTCCAAAATCCTTTGATAGTAAATTATATGTATAAAAGCAAACAGAAAATAACTAATTTGAGTAAGCAGATTAATTAGGGACTTTGTTGGGGGGGGAGCTGGGAATTTTTCCCTCAACTTCCTAAAACTGCATAAATATCATCAGTACTGTCTTACTTCAAATAACTTCTCAAAAGACAAGATATATGGTTGTTTTTGAAAGTAATAAATTTCAATCTCACTAAAAACACTTATGAAATTATATTAAAAATGAGATTATAGTGTGTTTCATTCCATTATCACAACAAACCATTAAACTCTAGCCTATAATAAAAAGTTTTAGCATGAAGAATTATGATTAGTATAATTGGCAGAAACCTTTTAACCTAATTACAAATAGGATGGTAGAGTCCACCAATTTAAAATATCCTAAATTAAATTAATGAAGCATTCAAAGAAGCATGTATGCTTATTTGCTTTCTTTATCAAAACACACTTTGGGATGCTATTTAATATAGAACAATTCAACATTTAATGTACACCAGTCCCTGAATATCATGGAGAAAGCTCAAGCAAATTGTAAATTATAGACATGAAACAACAAAATCATGAATTTTAATATATGTGTGCCTCATTTTTTATATTTGAAAGCGAACAAAAGAAATCTTGACAAGTCTTTTCTTTCATTTAAGACTGACACCAACACTTAATACAAAACACTTCATCACTTTATAAGAGTTACAGCAACAACCGTAGCCTGTAAGGTAAAGAGTTGCAGAGTATGTGAAATATTTATAAGCTAGTTATACATTTTTAAAAGAGTAGATAGAAATTCAAAGCCAGATAGAAATTCAAAGGAGTTCCTTCTTTATCTGGTGGTCTGAGTCTTTGTAGAAACTTGTGACTGGAAAGCAATAGTAAGATCAAAATATGATTAATCTACCAAAAAAGCAGTGATGTTCAATAATGATAAAGACTCAACCACTAAACTTAGAGGCAAAACTTCGGGTGGAAAACTAATATTCCTGAAACCTACTCAAATTATTTAGCACATGAAGTGGGCAAAACATCTGTTAGAGACTCTATTCAAAGGAAATGAAAAATGAACCTTCCTTTTGAATCAGAAATCTGGCTTGAGAGGGCAAGTCAGATTATCATCATTATTTACCTAAAACATGTTTGCAGACAGTTTTCTTCGAATACGTTGCAGGACATACTTATAACATTGTGAAAGTCCTCTGGCCCATGAACTGTGTTGGCAATTATTATTTTCCCAGGGAATACAGGGTAATTGGATATTTCACACATTTTGTGGGCAGTTTAATCAGCACCACTAAACCAAAGGACAGTCTGAATACTGGATGTCATTAGAACTGAAGAAATACTTGTGTGGTCTGGAGTCCCCTGATTTAGTATAAATAAACACAATTTAAGAACAAGTTGGTCCCAAATTTTAAGTTTGAGAAAGACGGGAGTTTCCAGGATGATCTAAACTGAACAGAAGCTATCTTTAAAAGCTGCTCCAATATGAACTGAAATCTCAGAAAAGGAAGCAAGTGATGTCACAATGGTGATTCCAAGAGTTTCCCGCTGAGACTCTACTCAGACTTTTGACATGATTTGCCCTGGGCCCGCAGGGCATCACTGCTTATGGACCTGCTTTGAGGTCTCAGGACCCAAAGACCTGGGTCCAGAATGTAGTGTCACTTCCAAGACACTCAATAATCTACATTTTGTCACGGCAGACATAGCTTACAAGATAGAATTGGAGTAATTTGCTAATCTTTCTAACAATAAAATTGATGAGAGAGAATCTAATTATCTTCTGTCACCTATTATTAGAAATTGACCCCTATATGTGTTTTTTTTTAATTGAAGGATAACATGCATACAGTAAAGTGCGTAAAGAACACCAAACTTAAGTTCATGATTTTTTAAAACAAGGATGCACCTGTGTAACCACCAACAAAATTACAAAATAGAACATTTCTGGCACCTCATAAAGTTCCCTTTTTTGGTCAACAGTCATATACCTTCACACCCAGGATGAACTGCTATCCTAAATTTTATCATTATGAACTGGTTTTCCTCAGATCATAATTTTGCCTCTATTTTTCTCTGAAAGTCGATGACAACAGTGCTTTTGGCACTAAGCTAAAGAAAAGATTGTTTGTTCCATATTACTATTCCCAGTTGACCTTGCTGTATTGGTCATCAGCTCTTCTCCCAAATCCGACATGATGTTACACAGTCTTCCTCTCCAGTTTGCTAATGGAGGTTTCATTTAGGCCACCTTCTCCAGAGCAAGAGGAGTACTTGAGCCCCTATGCTTTTTGTCTGCCCAGATCTGAGAAGTTCAGGATGGGTCCTGTGGGAAGCAAACTGCTATAATATTCTTGGTATGGAATTCTATCTTATTCTATTTATTTATTTATTTATTTATTTATTTATTTATTTATTTATTTAAAGATTCAATTATTTATTTGAGAGAGAGAGCGAGGGGGTGACAGAAGGAGAGAGAGAGAATCCTGAAGCAGACTCCCTGCTGAGCACAGAGCCCCAACATTATATTTTTAATATAATTTCATATGATTCATGACTCTGGGATCATGACCCAAGCTGAAGTGAAAAGTCGGCAGCTTAACCAACTGAGCCACCCAAGTGCCTCTATATGGACCTCTGTTTTAATGAGGCCAAATGACAAGTTTGTTTCCATATGGTCCAAACACTAAAGCATGTCCAAATTCTAAATGTCACAGACCAATACAAACTTTAATACCTATCTTCATCCATTCCTACAACTTGAAGTTTAAATAAACAAATGAATCACCTGGCAATTGTTTCTCATTAACACTACATGTATACACAAACTTAGAGCCGATTATTACTGCAAATAGTTTATGTCAATGTTCAAAGGACCATTCCTTGGATGCCCATGTTCCTTCACCAGTTTGTTTTGTTTTATTTGTTTGTTTGTTTGTTTGTTTAATCCCTTTCCAAGAACTCATTCAGGCTAGGCTCTAAAAATTTGGGACCAACTTGTTCTTAACATTCAGGCTATGCTTGAATTTTCTTACTAGGGGGGAATTTACTATGTCCAAAGGAAACTCAGTCCTTTCTTCAAATTTATTTTTTAGAGACTTAAAAATTCTGAAAAATACACCCCTACATACACACAACTTACATGAATTCGGGAGAGACTGAGAGACCATTCTAATCTACTGTGAATTATATAGATGTCACTCCAACTTTAGTATATGTACAATAAGAGTACTTACTCAAATTTGTGTTGTGCCACTGTTATAAACGTCTCCTTATAGTAGACCATTTTCCTTGTCCTTTCCATTCATATGTCTTTAGAATAGTGGGAATTACTTGTTTTCATAATGGCCCCTCTAATATTTGAAAATTCCTATCACGAATCTTGATCCATACCTACGCTCAATCTAGGACAGCATAGTGTTGTCAAACTAAATGAATGCAAATGTGAGAAGTCTAATAATTTATGGATTAATAAAGAAGAGGAATAAAAACTCTGATGGGCTTTGAAAAAAATGGTATCTAATGAGGGAGAAATCTAAATGGCAATCATGTGAAAAGAAAAAGGAAAAATGATAGTAGAAAGGCAGTAATTTATAATTTTTTTTAAAAATGAGATTTTTCCACACATTATTACGTCTTACGCATACTACTACATGGGTTCCTTGACTAATGCAGGATAAATAGCAAATATCTACACTTTAATCTAACAGATAATTGGAATAGTAACAGTTTTACCTGGCAATAATATAGAAAACAGGTGATTCTCTAAAAAAAAAAAAAATCAAAGCCAAACATTATAGAATTCTGTAATTATTTTATCTTTTGTAATATTAAGTAAGCTACAAAAGGATTCACACTGTCAAAAATGTTTGGATGCTTTTATACAAAATACTGAGAAATCATAGCTTCATTAGATATTATACTGCCCTTAAGCTCATAAATTAGCTTGAATATTCTCATAGTATGTAGAATTAAACCATTAGTTCTCAAAGTATGTGGTCAGAACAGCAGCATTAGCTCATCTGGGAACTTAATAGAAATGCAAATTCTCAAGCCTCACTCCTGACCCAACTCCTTAAGCAGAAACTCTGGAGTGGGGCCCAGGAATGTGTGTTTTAACAAGCCTTCCAGGTGGTCTGGTAGAGCCTAAACAGTAGGACCTCTGAATTAAACTTAGCCATAGCAGTAGGATTGGTAAAAAGAGACAAAATATTTTCAGAAATTACAAGGTACCCTCATAATATTTGAGGAAGGGAGAATATGCCTTGAAACTGATAATTATGATTCAAAACTGATGTCTAAGTTTATCCTTTTGTGAGTAAAGAATATCCTAGTTCTTTTTACCATTTCTTTTTCTTTTGGAGTTTATAATTTTTCAGCTCTTTGAACAGTTTAACTTGCTTTCAAAAATATATTTTTGGTATCATTTATTTTGCCCAAATTATCTAACATTTTCTCAGAACTACTATTACCTGTCTTCTGCATTCCTTTTTCTCTGGCTTAGGGGGTAAGTGATGGCAACAGTGAATAGGGAAGATGCAGGAGACCGCTGACCCTCTGAATTCAGAAGTAACAAATACTATGAGAAAAACTCAATGAAATGGCCTAAATTTAAATATTCATTTAAAAATTCATTCTCTTGCAGATGCACAGAACCAAAGAAGTAGAGGTTTGCCTGGCTTTCTTCCTGGAGCTCCAGACCCTGACCACAGCTTTCACGTCTCACTTGCCAACCCAGGGAACCAAGTGTGGCAGCCAACTCTCCCGCCGCCAGGCAGTCTCCCTCCTGGTCTAGAATATTTAAGCCAGGTGTTTTTATCTCTTTATTTCTACACACTTTCACCCCTTAAAATGAATACAGACTTGGTTTCTTGCTTTTCAACCACGGTTGAAGAACTTCAACAAATCACTTATTGAAGTGAGAAAAGCAGTATAAATCATGAAATTATGAAAAAAAAATTACCTCTATTATTTGGAAAGAAATTTATTCTCTTTTATTCCCACGTCTATTTTCCTTATTTATTTGGCAGAGTGATGACACTAAACATTTTTGATGGAGCTGTTTAGCACATTTATCCTCCTTCTGCTCATTGCTCAAGGTATAAGCAAATCTATCCTCAAGGAATTGTCTGACATGTCTAGTCACCTACAGCTATTTAATTAAAGGATATTTATTGAGTACTTGCTATTATCAAGACATAAAAAGCATAAAACCTAGTCCCTCTCACCCAAACATTCTGCAACCTAAATGGCATGCAAAAATGTTGACAGAAAGTGCAAGGCTATGTACTAAAGCCAGATAAACACACAGTTGTAATGTGTGCAGGTGCATAGAAGAGAGAAAGGTTGTTAAGGATCTAAATACTCAGGAGAGACTCCCGTAATGATCTGAGAATTCAGTGTCTTCAACTGAATCTCAGAAGGTGCCTATAAATCCAAGGGAAAGCAAGTTACCAAGTTAACATCATTGTCTTTGATACTGTTGCATCTCCAGGCTGATTTGCCTAAAAGATCATATTATTATTAGATACAGTCATTGGAGGGTGAGCAGTGATTCAAGCCTTATAATAAATCAATCAAGAAATCCCATCATCTGAATTATGTGGCACATAAAAAACGATTATATTTATATATATTATTGTTGCTTTTGTATTTTATCCTGCAAAAGATTGGAAATACACTAATATTGAGATGTCAGCACATCTGCTGCTATTTTCAGCTTGTTTGGCATTCTTTCAAACTATAAAGTCTATCTCCTTTATCAAAATCAAATCTCTGTGTTAATTCCCTTAAGGTACAAGAGATTTCTGTTATGCCTGATAGGGTTTAAGCTGTATGCAGCATATGTTCCTGGGAAAATGTTTATAATTGCAGATGCCTTCTCCAGAAACCCACTGGCAGACAAATGTACTTCAGAGACGGGAGAGCTCAGGGAGATATGTAAAGGAGCTGGAAAAGCTAACCTACCATCTTCCATCTGCAGAAAGGATCAGCTGTAATAGCTGACTAGAGTTGATTAACTGCTGCAAGCTGTTTGGGAATGTTGTCAGACAAGGTTTTGCCAAGTATAAAAGTGATATACCAGTGCCAGAGGGCTGAGGTTTGATGATCACATATGGTCATCACATATTCTTCTTCCATCCATGAATGATGACACACCCGGAGCCAGATGCTTGATATGAATATATATATATATTTTTTACATTCCATAAATAGAGATATGAACTCATTGGCTTCAGTTCTAAAATGAAGTCAATTTTCCAGACATAATACCTTTGGTAATCTTTTTCAGAAAATAAAAATATGCCACAAATTGGTAAATAGTATACTTCAAAGGGAAAGGTAATTTATTCACCTTACACTAAAAGAACACTTGCTTGCTTTAAAGCAGTGTACTTACAACAGGATAAATGAGCATTTTAAATGTTTTATACCACAAGTCTGTAAGATATATAGATATATAGATATATAATGAATTTTATGTGTTAAATTTTATCCAAAAACCATAAGAATTAAATAACATCATGAGCATTTGAAAATAGTACATTTTTCAATAAACAGGAAAATATACAAAATATACAAAATCCTTCTAAATTAAAAAAATCAAAGTAAAGGGGCGCCTGGGTGGCTCAGATGGTTAAGCGTCTGCCTTCGGCTCAGGTCATGATCTCAGGGTCCTGGGATCGAGTCCCGCATTGGGCTCCCTGCTCCTTGGGAGCCTGCTTCTCCCTCTGCATTTCTCTCTCGCTCTGTCTCTCACGAATAAAAAAAAAATAAATAAAAAAAATCAAAGTAAAAACTCATCTATTCTCCTTTAATCAAGTCCATCCAATGACTAATGAAAATCTTATTTCTATTAACAATTTGAAAATAAATTTTCAGGTATGTATATAAACATATAAATACATAGATACACATGCACATATATATTTGTGTACATGTGCATATATGTATATGTGTATGATATATATATATATATATATATATATATGGATGTATATGTGTGTGTGTATTTAAGTCATTCATGTAGAGCTAAACCTAAGAATAAACTAGAGATCTCTCTTTGGATTAACATGTTCATAATAGTCAATATCATTTTATCTTATTAGTGTCAAAGGACAATTATTATAATTTAGTCATCTAGAGGTAGGAGTAGTGAGTTAAAGTCTACAAAGACACATGTATAGGTATAATTTATTTTGAAGTACATATATTAAATGGAATCAGTGATACCTGTAAACCTAATAAATTATATATGAGAATTTATTCTTAAGCTATATATCCAAGGCTGTCATTAGATTTCCACTCTACGGCTTTCATACTTCAGTGCTTCACTTGCCCTGATACCTGAATATATGATTCAATCTGTCTAAAGTTTCCAACAATTCCTAGCCCATCATTTAATAGCAAAGGGTGGAAAGGGCTTATTTGGACCATAGTTTATAAGTGGCCCAGGACTACTTAAAGGAAACTGCAAGATCAAAACAAGACCCTCAAATCCAAGGGGGTTTCCCACAGAGACAGATCAAATCAAATACTATCACAGAGTTTGGGGTGTATAAAAGGTTAGAGAAATTAGGAAGAAAAGGTACTCAGAAGTTCCACAGTATCGATTAAGAATTGTTTATCCCAGTTCCTAAGATTAGTTTAGTGATGCCAATACAACAACGGAGTAGAAAGCATGTCAGAATTGGTGGCAAGCAGAAAGATCTGGCTTTAAATCCCAGCCCAGCCATTTACAAACTCTGCGATCCCAGGCCAACTACTCATTCCCTCTGGGGTTGTTTCTTCACGGGTAAAATGTAATGATGTCTACCTCTCTGAGTTTTTGTGAGGATTAAATCAAACGCTATGTCAAAATATCTACCACAGTGACTACCTCGTGGTGGCCACTAAATAAACAACTTCTAATTATTAGAGAGCAGAGGGGTACGACTTCCCTTTGCAATGTGGAGTGGATCTCAGTTGATAGTCTCTTAAGTTTCAAGACGAAGATTTGATCCATGGCACTAACATTAAAGTTCCTAGACTCAAACTTTAGTCTTGCCCCCACAGTTCTTCTCCCTCTCTAAGTTGGACCTCTAATGGACCCACTGCTAATGGACCCACCGCTAAATAATCATGGATGTCCTTTGTGACTTTTCTCTTCTCCCAACCCTCCATTTTCCTCAAAAGAGAACAGAACTAACAATAGTACATTTTTCAATAAACAGGAAAATATACAAAATATACAAAATCTACAAAAGACTGTTTCTAGTGTTTAAAAATTGCCAAATAATTGCTATACCAAAAAATTGCTAAAATAGGTTTTAGAATCTCTCAAATCATAAATGTATGGAAAATATTTTTTGTGGACCTTAAAAAAAGAGGCTACATGAACTCTTTTACCAATAATAAGATTTAAATAGAGGATGTGACATTAGTTGGCATTAGTTTTACCTGCACCTCAGGATATACAAGGAGAATGCAGGAAATAATGTAACTTCAAATTTTCCGGGTTTGTAAGGCCCAATCAATACCAAATATTACTAATGACTATTTCAGTTTAATAGTCACCAGTGAGTTTATTAAAGTGAAGGGAGAATGAAGTGAAGAAATTTAGAGGCAAAAGAGAAAATGAAGTGTTGGAAAAGACAATGGTCTTCAGGGTTCATGAATTTACCTTAGTGAAAAATAAAATTCATTCAAAGAACATATTTTAATATTTCCTTTAAACATTTGCATTGTATACTTTTTAATATAGTCATTTCTCAACTATCTATGAGTACTTTATCTCTGTAAACTAACTTCATTTTTAATTACATAAAGCAAATTTTATTATGTTAGCTGTTAATGGCAAAACTTATTCTGCTTAAATGGGTATTTCGTTGGCACCAGTAGGATTTCTGATTGTTGTTGTTGTTGTTGTTGTTGTTGTTTTTCTAGTCCAGAGGAGAGTATGAGTGAGAACAATTTACAGAATGACCTCTCTCCGCTTTAACAAAGACACTTTATTTCTGTGAGGAATGAGTTGAGAGTGAAAGAGAAGTTAGGCAGGGTGGAGAGGGGAGGCCAGGCATTCAGATCATTGCTTAAAAAAATGAGTTTAAAAAACTTTTAGGCATTATTATTCAGAGACTCTTTAAAAATCTTCAGGTATTGTTTCCACGAGTTACTCTTTTATCCCTTTGTCACAGAAAGAACACAGTGTTAACCACAGTTCCTAATCTTATTCTGGGCAATTCTGGCTTGGAATTCTCAGGGTTCTTGTATTTGTTTTTTTTATTTTTACTTGAATACAAAAGATATCATCTTTTTCATTATAAAATGTGAGCTGTTTTCAACCATTTCCTGGTAGAGAACATGAAAATTACCAAATTTAATGTGTTAAACAGGTTAATAGTAATATCTCCAAAGGTTTTCAAAGTGTGATGTAATGCTTTTATTTCCTTTATGTCATTCTTTAACAGTTAGACCTGATAATTATACACCAGCAGGTGGAGCTTCTTGGAAGTAAGTGTACTATATTCTATATTTATTAAAACTGTTAAAAATATTTTAGGCGTGGGGCACCTGGGTGGCTCAGTTGGTTAAGCAACTGCCTTCGGCTCAGGTCATGATCCTGGAGTCCCGGGATCGAGTCCCACATCGGGCTCCCTGCTCGGCGGGGAGACTGCTTCTCCCTCTGACCCTCCCCCATCTCGTGCTCTCTCTCTGTCTCATTCTCTCTCTCAAGTAAATAAATAAAATCTTTAAAAAAAAATATTTTAGGCTTCAGAAATTTTGTTATATTTAAATATCTCATAATAAAGTTAAATGTTGAGGAAAAAATTAAATAAAAAAGATCAGTAGGTCTCCTTTTTAAAATAAACACTCAAAGTAAATTGTTAGCCTGATATAGATAAACCTAAAAGCATAAAACTTTCCAAATCTTTGGTAATATTGTTATCAGGAATCTAACATTATTTTTATCTTAAACTAATAAAAGATGTTTGATCATTTCAATGCTTGTTAATAATTTATTTCCTTACTAATTTCAGAAATGGAAATCAAGGTTGAAACTAAATAACAAAACCCATTCTACTCCTGAAACTAATATTACACTGCATGTTAACTCACTGGAATTTAAATAAAAACTTGAAACAAAACCAAAAATAAATAAATAATAGAAACCCATCGAACAAAATTTGTTGTTTTATCATTGAATTGGTGATTCATCAAATGGCTTGTTATTTAACAATACACAGATTTACAACAATGATTAACTGAATTCAAATTACTTGGGTATTTTTTGTCCGTAATATTCTATATTATATCTAAAATATGTCAAAATTGTAATAAACAGCAGAATAGCATGCAGCTGTAGATATACTGTTAAATAGATCTTAAACAAAATCATTACTATGCTGTGAGTTGTTCCAATAAATTCCACAGCAATGATAGAAGGATTATTTGAGGATTCGATTCTTTACAGATTTGTTTCTTCAGTTGAAAAGTGGAACTACATGTTCCAAGTAGGTCATATATCTGAAATCAAAATTTAGTCATTGCACAGCTTTGTTCTCAGTACTTTGATTTCCATAGCTAAGTCCTCAAATTTTAGAGCATGGAAGTAGATTTGGGTGAAGAAGATACCATATACTTAATAATTAGTCAGTGATTCTGTTTCCTTTTAATAATACTACCCCTTTTACTTATTTAAAGATTTGATACTAGGCAATAGTACTGTTTTGATGAATTTTTTTTTCCTCCCTTAGTGATCCTTGGCACTGAGACCTCCAACAAATATGAGATTAAAAACAGCTTGGGGCAAAGAGTTTACTTTGCAGTGGAAGAAAGCATCTGCTTCAATCGTACCTTCTGTTCCACGCTGCGATCTTGCACTCTGAAGATCACAGATAACTCAGGTCGGGAGGTGATTACAGTCAACAGGCCTCTGAGGTGTAACAGCTGCTGGTTCCCTTGCTACCTTCAAGAGGTTAGTCATTGGCTGTGTGTGTACTTTTATTTTTCTATGTTTGAAAAGATTAGCAATTATTTAATAAATGGCATTCATCTGGAGCCATAAGGCAATTCACGTTTCGATTGTTTGAATTAGTAGTATGCTTCTTGCTCCTTTAGGATCAGAATAGCTTAAGGACTTGGTGATTCACTAGCTTGTTGTTTTTATTTTTTTTTTCTCTCCAACAAAAAACTATAGTGGCTTCCGTGAATGGGTAAAGACAGCTAATGTGTCATGTGAATAGGACACATCCTCTTGAATCTCTGTATTAGGCACATAATTGTAATATCTATGAGATCCACCATTAAGCAAATCTACCCTTTGCATTCTCTAACTGTAGCAAAGTTCAGAAAGTGCTGAGTAATACTAAACTCTTTCAAGGTGTTCTCTTGGTTAGGTATTATTTTTAGTACAGAATCTCACATCCCATTCATCCATTTATGACAAACTTCAAACTGTGACAAAGACTACGTTATTGTTCTGAAGGGAGTCATTTAATTATTTTAATATATAATAGATTTTCATCATTATCTAATAGATCTACAATAATAACTTTCATTGACATAATGCCGTTAAGTCGATACGGAACGTTTACTTACTTTAACATCTTTGATATCATAACATCTGTATGAGCTAGAGAGAATGGGTTTTACTTTCCACATTTAGCAATTGAGAAAACTGGGGCTTTAGGGATTGGAGGTAATTTACATATCCACAAAATATCATGAATGGGGCTTGATCTACTGTTCTTATTCAAACCCCAGTTTCTCAAAAAAAGAAAAAAAATGGTTTCTCTATTGAGGACCTATGTTTAAGTACTCTACTTGGCATGATGAGAAATATTAGTATGGATGGGGGTTAACTGAGGAAGTTTCTAGCAATATATATTGAAGCTAATTCTCCAGCTATAGGCAGTTGCCTGGCTAAGTGATAAAATGGAGCAGGTCCTCATACATGGAGTCCAAGAATCTTCATCCTCCTACTGAGGATATTTAAGATCTAATATGCTCTAAGATGGTATAGTCAGTATAATATATCTATTTGAAAGTTTCTGATAATTGATGTTTTATTTCATAGTAGCCCAATGTCACATAAATGAAAGGTAAGATGTATCTTGATACCCATTAACAATTTTTCAAAATGTGGTCAAAATCAAACCAGTTATTTTAAGAGTGATCCCAGGACAAATCTATATAATTCTTTCTTTTTAGTGTTTTTTTTAATTTAAGTATAGTTGACACACAAAGTTACATTACTTTCAGCTGTACAACTTAGTGATTTGACCAGTCAGATCTACATAATTCCAAGCACTCTCAGTGAAACCAACTCTGTTGATCCAAGAACACTACAGACATACACATAAGACTATGAACTTAATAAATTAAAAAAAGACAAAAGGTAAACAGATTATAAGGAGTTGGTTTGATTTAAAAGCAAACAATTTTCATTTTTACCCACCTCTAGTTTATTTCACAACACATTTGATTTGACTACATAAATACCTTGAGATACAGTATGATGAAAAATACAGAAATTAAGGAAATGAAGGTAATGGGGAAAATACTAAAGTAAAGCCTGAAAATGCAATTGCTAGTCTATAATGCTTTGGAAGAAGTTAAACAGAAATCAAATTGGTATGTAAAATGGTACCTTCACAAGAAGCATTTGTTTTTAATTGAACACAGAGAAGCTAGAAGTTGACAGCCTGAAGGGAAAACAATCACGAATAGCTAATAATTGGTAAGTGAGGGATAAAAATAGATGTGTGTTGTGGCAACACAGGAGAGGGAGTAGATTGGAAATACCTCATGGGAAACAGCTTTAGTGCTTGACCAACTGCCATACTCGGGACAAAAATGGCAAAGAAGCCAGCGTCCCATGGTCAGAAGACAATTCTGGGATAGGTTGTCTTCAGGGAAGTATGATTAAAGACATGGACCTTTAGTTTATAATGCCAAGCATATCTATACAGTGAATTTCTTTGTTTCTATAAAATAATGGGAAAAAAAAATCCACTGCTGTGTTTTTTTGTAGCAGATATTTAGAATATCTTGTAGAATACAAAAATAATTTCATAAAAGTTACTGTTTAGAAGTAAATTGACATTGTTGTAAAATAAAAATACAATAACCTTGGAAAAAATCTTATTTTATTATTGTCTCTTCTTACAGTTAGAAATCCAAGCCCCTCCTGGTACTATAGTTGGTTATGTTGCACAGAAGTGGGACCCCTTTCTGCCTAAATTCACAATCCAAAATGCAAACAAAGAAGATATTTTGAAAGTTGATGGTCCTTGTGCAACATGTGGCTGTTTTGGTGATGTGGATTTTGAGGTATGGATGACAGAATAAAGGAAGTTTTCACTTAGGTCCTGATTTTTTGCAACATAATTCAATTTTAAGATATTCAAATCCTGAAATATCTCTGAAATAAATTTAGAAGATAATATACTTGTGAAATAATGTAATAAGCCCATATTGTACATGCCAATAATAACTCATAATTTCAGTGATACTAAGCTCAAGATTTTTTTTAAAAAACATGCTAAAACTTTTTTGATTTATGTGGAATTACAGCACCCATGGTACAAAGCAAATACATACAGTTTAGAATCACCCTAAATTATATCTTATTTCCTGTAGCTCTGATGGTTACATATCCCAGTTCAGATCTCATCTAAAAAGCACATTCCATTAAAAACCACATTCCATTAAAATATCACTAATTTAAAACCTATGACCAGAACACCTGCTAACTTCATTTTGTAAAATAATCTACACTTAACTAAACATATTTGTGTAAATTCAATGTTAAAAAACAATAGAAAGTTGCAAATTCAGTTGTAAGAATATGAACTATCTTAACTGCCTTTCCTAGAAATACATTTTAGGCAAAGCAGATCGAATTTAAAGTGTATACTTGTTATTCTTTCCTTCATTCTTTATACATTCATGTATATCCCACCTAGGACATTCAGTTTGAGGGACTTCAGGGAACACTGTTCACCCAGAATATGATGTAAATTTTGCGATGTGAGCTGTTCTAACTCCAGTCCACTCTAAAAGGACTTGGCATGACTTTCCTAAGACTAAAGGATAGTCTCCTCATTCAGTGGGGAGTCTGCTTGTCCCTCTCCCTTTCCCTTTGCCCCTCCCCCCACTCTCTCTCTCTTAAATTAAAAAACAAAAAACAAAAAAACTAAAGGATAAAAATATGCCTTATGATTAAGACTTGAAAATTTTAGTACCGGGACACATGGGTGACTCAGTCAGTTGAGCATCTGCCTTCTGCTCAGGCCCTGATCTCAGGGTCCTGGGATCAAGCCCCACATTGAGCCTGAGCCCATGCCAGGCTCGCTGCTCAGTGGGGAATCTGCTTCTCTCTCTCCCTCTGCCCCACCCCATGCTCATGCTCTCCCTCGCTCTCACCCTCTCTCTCTCTCATGAATAAATAAAATCTTAAAAAAAAAAAAGAAGAAAAAGTTTTAGTATTTGTAGTAATGGATGTCCTAAGTAACTTTCTCTATTTTCTATCTTCTCCTGCCATACAGAAAGTGAAAGTTTATATTGAATCACTTTCAGCCTTTGAATGAGAAACAGGGCAAGCAAAATAGTTGATAAAGTTTAATTGTAGACTCCTTCTAGCTGAGGACTATAGATTTGGACTATAGATTTTTGATGTAAAATTAGTTTGCATTTCCTGTGTAATATATTTGCCCTGAGAATTTTTTTTAGTGAAAAATAGGACTTCGAGTTAGTTATAAAGGAATTACCTAGTAAATATATAGTATAATATGAAAATGAGATTAAGCAATGGCTGATAATATTTATGTTAGTAATTATAAAATCTTAGCAATAAAAATTTAAAAGTTTACAAATTATATCTGGAAAATTTCTTCTAGAAAATCTTATCTAAAATCTTTATCAAAAATATTTTCTTTTTCTTTCCTTTTTTTTTTTTTAATTGAAGAATTCAGGTTTGAAATCTGGACCTCAGGTAATAGAATTACCTTCAATGTTAGATCATGTAATTGAGACTATGTACCTGCTGCCATCTTGTGGTAGCCTGACCTTAATTATTTATTGGTATTATATTCTCAATCTGCTTACAAAAAGCAAAAAAAAAAAAAAAGGAATTAGGATAAATTAGACAACTGTCAGAAAAGCAAAATTCCTCAAGAGTGAACTATAAAGTTAAATCTACAAACTTATGCTTATATAAAGGAATGAATGACATGGAATTGTCACAGATGATGAATAAAATAATTCAAATCTCTCGAAGCAAACATACTAAGATACTTAACACCATTTGTTTCACGTTTAGATTTAACATCTCTTATTTTCTTTTCAAAGGTGAAGACCATTAATGAAAAGCTTACAATTGGGAAGATTTCGAAGTACTGGTCAGGATTTGTAAATGATGTCTTTACCAATGCTGACAACTTCGGAATTCATGTTCCCGCAGATCTAGATGTGACGGTCAAAGCAGCGATGATCGGTGCTTGTTTTCTCTTTGTAAGTATGGTCTTAAAGAGTATGAGTGATTTATTTCCCTTTTCTTGTTAATTACTATGGAGCCAATCTCATTTTGCACAGCATCATGTTTACCTCAAGGAGGTTTCTGCATAGAAGGCTAGTTTGGGACCAACTCTTCAGAAGTCAGAATTTAGGAATCTGCATTTCTAATAGGCAGCCCTTCTCCACTGGCCTTCATACCCTCTTCCTCAGGAATTGCTGCCCTGTCAAATCCTACTCATTATTTCTTCAAAGGCTTAGTTACCCTTCTCTTTCAATTTCAATTTAGATTTTTGGCTCATTTTCGCTTTCACTGGAAAATATGTAAATATCACATTATTTATCCTGGGTAAAGTTCAGGACTGTTTCATTGTTTAACAATGAATTAAGTGACATTCAGAATGTGAAAAGTACAGTTGTCTTGCCCTTCCAATATGAACGTGAGTACATGGATTCACAGGGATGAGTTAATATGTATCAGTTTCCATTATTACAAAGATACTATGTCTTTGTCCTTTTTTTTTTTTTTAACAACTTATAACCCATTAAAATATTTTCTTCTTGGTGTGGATATTGGTGATAGGAGAACAGAATTCAAGTAACACCTGTGCCAAATGCTTGGCCATCTCCTGTTCCTGATTTTTCCTCTAATATCTCCCTCATTGCTTACCATTATCAATGCTCTGACAAAAAGTCATGGAATTTTCAAATAAACCTGTATTCTTCCTCTTATATTTTGTTGTTCTTCATTTAGGATCTTAAATCTTATGGTTATATTAATGTGTGCTGCTGTGGGGGAAAATGGCTCTATCTACTCATTTTTTTCTAAAGACACTTGGGAAGTAGATTAACTAAAAATAATTCCCTAATGGCATTACTGAAAGATATTTAGGGTTTGATATAGAATATATATTTTTCCAGGAATTTTAACTCATTGGTTCCCTATCATTGGTAGGAGGTAGAATTTGTGTATTTGGATTGCTAGGTTTTTATACTTACCAGGTAGTCACTTACCTTCAATTCCCATTTGCATTTATAAATCTAACCAATTCCAGTCAATCTTGCCTATGACCTAATATTTCTTCCATTCCTTATTCTCCATATTATCCTCTATCCACTTGACAGGGCTTTTACTTTGCCACTTCCTGCTCACCTTTCCCATCTTTAATCATTCAGCACTTCAACACCAATCCCTCCAAGCATGCACACACACAGACACACAGACACACACACACACACACAGCTCTTTTCCCAAAACCTCAATTTAGCCTTTCTGATTAAGCTCTGTACTTAATGTTTATATTAAAAAACAGATAATCTTTAATCTGCCATACCCACTTATATTACATAACAGGCTGACAGTAAAAATGTACTGTCGACAATTTGCTATGCACTATAAATTGGAGAAGCTCTGATCCAGATAACACCCCAGTCATCGAAAAGATAACTTTTTAACTCCATTGTCTCAGGGAGAAGTATTCTCACTGAGAATATCTAATGCTCCCATCCATTTCTTTTTTTCCTTTTTTTTTTGGGGGGGGGGCGCAATATAGATTTTAAAACAATTTCTCACATGTATTGCCAAGATAAATCACTTACTTCTACATATAATTTGATAGGAAGAATTATGTTTTTATTTTTAAATGCTGTCTCCATTTTGTTACCTTGTGCTGAGAGAGAGACCTTCAGAAAGCTGCTGGTATGAGAATACTCACTGATCCAAACAGCAAAATTCACAAGTACTACCTAATGTTTGGTCTCCTCTGGTTCGATGCCTCCACTCCACAACCCACAGCTCTAACTACCCCTTCTCAAGTTCCCTCTGGTATAGTTTTCAGTACTTCCTGAGATGAATACCTAGTCACTAACCACATAGTCCATGATGATGTATGTAATACTTGTTCAAAAGTCAGTGTCTATTGCAACTTCCTGCACCAACACAATACCCTGCAAACCAAGTCTGCACTGTCTTGATCACCCAGGATTTTGACTGATGATACCCTGCTGATTCGGATAAGATTTCCAAGTAACTTGTATTCTGAAAACTAGTAAGTGTCGCCAAGCTTAAAATTTTTTGATTTTCCTCCTACTGATAAATCGCATGTTGCTGGAACACCACTGGGAAACATAATTGCATGATATAATCAGAGCTTACATGTGAGACTCCTGATCTTAGTTGTTGCCTTTTTGTAAATGCACTCATATTCACTTTATTTATTTGTAGGATTTTATGTTCTTTGAACATTCACTGGCTGGATTATGACAAGCAAGATGACAAAAACAATAAAATATGCAAGAATATATTTCAGTAAGTAAAGAAAACTTTAAATGATCTCTTTCCCTTTGAAGATATCTATATTTGACGCTCTTTTTCATTTTCTCCTAGAAATCCCGTGGGCCCTGGATTTCATTTTTAAGTGGTTTGCATATTTGCTTTTTTGGTAACAAATGTTAATTATTATATTTATTAAAGCATAATGTAATGAAGCAATTATTTGGTTGTAAATGCATGATAGCTAAAGACAAGATTACTGGCCCGAGCACAGAGTTGCTTTGAGAGATTGCCATTCTTTCTTTTTAATCCTTTTGAAGTTATTGCATGGGTAAGCATGAAAGATGAGAACTAAGGCTTGCAGCATCACTGATGAAAATCCAATGTTTAGAGAGCACTTTGAAGTTTTTTCTGGTACTAAGGCTGGTTACTAATCAAAAGGACTGGATTTCTAAAATATTTTTTCATAAGCAGTCTTTTGACTTTGTTTATTAATCTTATTGTAGTGAGACATTTTTACTTTATATCAGAAAAGCTGAAAGTTGGATAAATAATATGCTTAGAGATGAGGTGGAAGATAGAGGAAATCAATTTGTTCTAGTGGTAAGGAACTAATATTTCCATAAGGAAGCTAATATTTACAAACCAAAGCATGCCATAAACACATATGCACACCAGAGATTTAAATAAGCATATAAATAGACTTCTCAGTTAGTAAAAGCAGTGATATAGAGCAGGAACTTTACCTATTTACAGTGAGTTCAGTCAAGAAAGGGATGTAGGGCTCTGAAAAATTCACGATTCTAGGACTTAAAAATAAGCAAACAAAAACAAACAACACATGAGGCAAATGCAGAAGTCAGGGCATACAGTCAACTCAATTAATTAATGCCTTCTACTTTAAAGTTTTCAGAGTCCTCTAGATAACTACATCTGGTTATCCACTCATTTCCAAAGCCCACACAAGAAAAAATTTTTAGAATTTCTTTTTTAGGAATGATGATAGTTCTTCCCTTTCCAAAATGAGGAAACAGACTTGTTTTAAGCAGAGCACCCTGGAGCCATTTGGACTCTAATTTAGAATTATATAAAGACTACCCAAATTTCTGTCCACTTATAAAGGTGTTCAGAGAAATTCCAGGCAATCCCCCACTTAGAAACAGAAATGTGTTCCAAGTATCTATTACTAAATTAATTGGAACTAGGAATCTCTCATCTAGAAATAACACTGTATGTATCAGTTAAGCTCCCAAGATAGCTCACAAATAGCAATTTAGTCCTGGGTTCTGGGATCAGGCCTCTAGGTTGTATAAGATGGAAAGGAAAACAGTCACCTTTTCTGAGAGCCCCCTCTGTTGGTATCCCGCAGCAAACCCTAGAAGATTGGGTGGAGCAGAGTAGTTTAAGCATTAACACCAAAAAACACCCATGCTTCAAACCCAATCTTTCTCCTGGCGGTCCCATCCATTCTCTCAGCGTCACTGGTATGACCTGAGTGTTGGAACAGTAGGGTCACAGAAGCAAACGGCCATCCTGTGTGTGATAGACATTGTCTTGAGTCTGCTTGTGTTAGCCACGCCTCTGTACATTGGTCCTATAGTCTTTCTCAACTTTCTCAGGTTTCCCATGTGTTACTTTGGAGAGCTGTGGTGACGGTTGAGGGGACTGCAGTGTTTCCTCTCTTTCCCCTTGATCTATTTTAACTAATGTGTGTGTGACTTATCCATAACCAGCTAAGGAAGGGACATTTTTAAAGCTGATGCTTATTAACTAATAAAATGGAGAAAAATAGCTAGCATTTTCAGAGGGCTTATTACATGTCAGGCACCATGCTTCATATGAATTCCTGGTGGGGGAACAAAATGCAGTAAAAACAAAGGAAGATCAGGCAGTATGTGGAAGACTGCCTGGCACCCTATCTTTCCCCCTCCTCAAATTTTCTCCTTAAAGATGAATCTGCTTTCATATCTTCTTGTATTTTTGATTTCTAAACTGATTTTTGTAATTTATGTCATAACAGCAGCATTTGACACTCTCATGGTGGGGCAAAATTATAAATACTACATTTTAACATGACAAACATTTGGATTTAAAAAAGAATATTTAAATGGTTTAAAATGCCTGCTTCTAATGGAGACTCTCTAAAGATAAAAATTCTTCTTAGAATACAGTGCTTATTTCAAAGTTGGCTATATTAAACAAAAACCTCCTGTATTACTTTGCTCCTGAATTGCACACTACAACAAATTAAGATCCATCCTATCTCCTCTTCCTCATTAAAGGTGAAACTGATCTTTACATGTCTTTTGTGCTCTACTTTTTCCTTCCTTTCCCACCAAACATGAGTCCGTGAACAACTAGCAAGACTCACTCTTCAGTAACATTTTCAGTAAAAAGTATGCAGCTCTAGAATGAGGAGGGCCCTCTGTACGTCACAGTTTTCTGGTTTACTACCTCTCCTTGACCCCACCACCCTCTCAGAACACAGGCTCCCCACTGTTTATTCTGAAATGTACTGGGAAAGACTTGACCAGCTTCAAATGCCTTTTCTTTCTCTTTCTCTCTTTCTTTCTTTCTTTCTTTCTTTCTTTCTTTCTTTCTTTCTTTCTTTCTTTCTTTCTTTCTCTTTCTTTCTTTCTTTCTTTCTTTCTCTTTCTTTCTTTCTTTCTCTTTCACTCTTTCATTAAGTTAATAAATATTTACTGACTCCCTCCATATGCCAAAAATATAGTACCCCTGCCTTTGGTGGAGCTTATAGTTAAAAGAGATTGTCATTAATCCAGTAATGGCACACACAAAGGTTAGACTTCAAACACAAGTGTTTACAGGAGATGGACAAGGTGCTAGGTATGACAGAGGTATGACTTGGTCAGGTTGTGAGGGAATGATGGTAGATTTAATATATAAAGAATAAGTGGATCAGAAGGAAGAATGTGTTTGGCTTAGGTGCTAATATTTGCAAAAGTTCTGTGATGGAGGAGGACATGACAATCTCATGTGACTTGAAGAAGGCCAGTGACTAAAGTTTAGACGGTGGGGAGGAATATGGTACAAGATGAGGATGAATAGGGCCTGAAGGCCATGTTAAAGATTCTAGACTCAGTCTCATCAGCAAAGCATCTGATGAAAATTCATAAGAAAAGAGTTAACTGGGTGCCTGGGTGGCTCAGTCATTAAGCATCTGCCTTCGGCTCAGGTCATGATCCCAGGGTCCTGGGATCGAGCCCCGCAACAGGCTCCCTGCTCAGCGGGAAGCCTGCTTCTCCCTCTCCCACTCCCCCTGCTTGTGTTCCCTCTCTCACTGTCTCTCTCTCTGTCAAATAAATAAATAAAATCTTTAAAAAATAAAAATAAATAAAATTAAAAAAAAAGAGTTAACGGATTAAAGATTAGATCGGGGAGAGTGCAGGAAAGGATGCTCATGGACCAATTAGCAGGTTACTAAGTAGTTTAGGTGACAGTTATTGGTAGCCCAAACTTGTGGCACTCACATAAAGGGGGAGAAGTGAACAGATTCAAGATAAATTTAGGGGGTAAAATCACCATTACTTGATGCTGGGGTGAAATTGAAGATTTGAGGAAGAAGGAATTTCTAACCTACACCATTTACTGACAGAGAGAAAATTAGAAGAGGCTTGTCTGGGGATAAAGAGCATGGAATCAGTTTTAAACATACTGATTTTGTAATTCATAAGTTTTCCAAAAGGAGATGTCAAATAGGCAGGTGGGCATCTTTTCAGCTAGTGTATTTCTGAAGAGAGGTGAGTATATATGACATATATATGGACCCACAGAGATCTGAATAATCACTAGTTAACTTCAAGGACATCCCTAAAAAATATTTTAAAACATGCTTGGTCAGTGAACATATTCATTCACTTATTTAACTAATATTTTACAGAATTCCTTCTATATACTAAGCACCATATTAAGAAGGTGAGATATTATGCTAAGTAGCAATTATTCCTACTCTAAAGATGCATTCAACAAATATTTATGATGTTGTTATTATGTACTAGGCATCTATGTCAGCATGAAATTTCAGCAGTGAAGAAGGCAACAAGGTACCTGCCCTCTTGGAGCTCATGTTCTAATACAGATGGGCAATAAACCAACAGATAACAAATATCACATAATCATAGGTGATCATAAATACTGATAGAGTTCATCACTCAATATATAAAACAGTAAGTTGAATTTATTGCTTGCTCAGGCAAGGGAGAGCTGAGCTTATAAGACATAGTTTACAAGAAAAGGAGAAAGCTTACACAGGGTTTTGGAAAAGTGTGAAGTATAGAAGCTGGAGTGTTAACTTTAGCTATAGAAATGTGTTTCCCAGAGTAAGACTGTTTCTGACTGGCTGACTCTCAGAAATGTTCACTGGACTAAAGCTGTCGTTGATTACCTGATTTTTCAAAAGTAGATTGCAGGGAATGTTACTGAATTTTTTTCACACATGTGCGCACTTTTGTAATCAATCACTGATTAAACAAGTTTAATACTGGTTTTGATTGTTACTCATTGCTATGATGAACAATCAGTTTTTTCATGAAGAAAAGTAATTCAGAACAAAGAAATAGAGAAAAATGGAACTGCTGTTGCATTGGAGCAGAGAAAAGGGGAAAGGGCAGCAATTCATTAGAATATGTGGAAAAACAGAGTTCCAGGCAGATGGAAAAGTGAGTTCAAGGGCTCAGAGTCACGAGCCTGCAGGGCAACTTTGAGAAACACCGGTAGCCTGTGCAACCGAGGTATACGTGGCCAGGGACTAGATCATATATAGTCTTGCAAGGCAAGGTATGGAAGAGGAATTAACAAAACCTGGCACTTGATTGGATATAAGATATGGAATATTAAGAACTCAAGGAGAAGCCCCAGTTTCTATCCAGCCCCAGTCTCTGTTGTGGGAAGCTAAAGGGATGGCTATACCATTCACCATAACGAGTGCATACAGTGTCACAGGTGGCATGATAAAAGAACGTACATCAAGG